GCCTGCCCCTAGCCATGCCCTGGATTGTCTTAGTTGGATCTTGCTTCCAGCTTCTCGGTCACAGCGAGAGGCCCGTCACTTCTGCTCTACAGCAGCCGGTAAGTTTCCGGCTTGAGTGTGCTATTGGCAGCAAGGGACTGCATCCGGAAGGAGGCTGGTGTAGGACCAGCTGGTCACAGGAAGTTGGCCATGAGGCCCGCTGCTGCCCCTAGCCATGCCCTGGATTGTCTTAGTTGGATCTTGCTTCCAGCTTCTCGGTCACAGCGAGAGGCCCGTCACTTCTGCTCTACAGCAGCCGGTAAGTTTCCGGCTTGAGTGTGCTATTGGCAGCAAGGGACTGCATCCGGAAGGAGGCTGGTGTAGGACCAGCTGGTCACAGGAAGTTGGCCATGAGGCCCGCTGCTCTCACTTGCTCGAGGGCACTTGCTGCAGAGGAAGCTCAACAGGGATGGGCCTGTGGGCGCTGGAACTAAGGAGGGAGCAGGGCCCCACCGTGGGGCAAATTACGGGTGAATTGTTGAAGAGGTCCAGCTCGGACTTGGCTCTCTCCCATCATCCTGACTCCCCTCTCTCTGCCCCATCTCCTCTCTCCCGGCAGGTGCCCATCGCTCCACTGCATTGCACTGAAGATGTCTAACAGCAACACCACGCAAGAGACCCTGGAAATAATGAAAGAGTCAGAAAAAAAGCTGGTGGAGGAATCTGTGAACAAAAACAAATTTGTATCCAGGTCACCGAGCAAAGAAGAGGTTGAGAAGGACGGGGAAGAAGCCAACGTACGGCAGGAATCTCAGGTAAGGCACCTGTTCATCCTCCTGTCCCGGTGTTACTGTCACGAGAGGCAGAGGCAGACTCGCCCAGAGTGTGGAGATTCCCATTGTGCCTGCTGGCCACTTGGTGCTTTTGCAAAGGCTGGGAACGTTTGGTGGGGAGACCCTGCTGGGAAAGGGGGAAGCGGGTTTGGCTGGCTCCCGGAGGCAGGCAGTTCAGTACCCTGCCCAGACGAGCGCTTGGAAGAAGGGGCGCCTTTGCAGAAAGGCGAGAGAGGATATTGTGTGTGGGCTGAGCGGCCCTCGGGGGGAGTCCGACTTTTGAGCTGAATTGTATCATCACGTGGTTCTCTGTAACAAGCCAGCCCTCATCCAGGAAGTGGGTGAGTTGGGAATTCACCAAGGGGAACAGACCCTCAGCTTGTGGAAATCAGCCTAGCGCCAGCAAATCCCGTCCCGTCCCCTCTGTACCCCTCTTTCTTCTGTCTGTTACGTCTGGTTAGCCTGTAAGCTCTTGGGGGCAGTTCTCTCCCTGTATGCCCCATACAGTGCCAGCTCAGTGGGGCCCGATGGCATTCGTAGGCTCTCTGACTGGCACCAGCTGGCCAAGAGTGTGGGCGTGGCTTGCGGAGCATGCTAGGAAAGGCCGCAGTGTACAGACTCCAGCTCTCTCAGAACAGGCTGGTGAGGCTGGCACGGAAGGGAAGGTTTGGAAATACCCCAAAGTGGCTCCTGTCCAAGTGACAGGCAGCCCGGCGCAAAACAGGGCCAGCTGGGGTCACTGGCACTTCCAGGTGCTTCTGTTGCACGTCTGCCCGAAGGGGGGAACTTGCATTGCTGTGGGAGGGGAGCTGCCAGGACCGGAACCTGCGCGGGAGGATGCGCCGCAGGATTCTGCGCTTAAAATCCAGGGGCTGGCTCTAGATTGCCGAAGGGAACCGACATACAAGCATCATCGCTGGGCAGAGAGCGCGCTGAATGGGGGAGGTGGGGGTTTGTCCAGCTCCAGATGGGGCAGCAGTAATTGACACCCCGCTGCTGTGATTCATTTCCCCTTGATTGCTGTGGCAGCATGTGCTGTTGAGTCATTGCCTGTTAGAGCTCACCTGGCCCTCAGCCTCGGGTTCCTCTCCCCATTCAGCTCCCTGTGGTCTTGTAGCATCCCCCTGAGCCCGCAAGGCAGGGGCAGCTTGGGCCGGGCTAGCAAGAGTTGTGAAGTGGAGCATGGTTGTGGGCCGCTGACCGGATCAGCCCTGGAACAGGGTTGCCCCCAGTTCTACGGGTCAGTGTGTGGAAGGGCTCCGAGCGTCCGGTGCACGTTGCTTTGGCCATTCCCTTCCCCTCTGGGTTCAGCGTCTGTTTGCTTGTGAAACGACTCGGTAGCGTTTCTTCGCTGGGACTCTGGCAGAGAGGCCAGAACTCCTTGCAGAGCCAGATCTTTACTGGCAGCGCCCAGCCAGATCCCTTTTAAAGGCGTACAGCCGTCTTGTGCATTCAGGAAAAGTCCCTGCTCCGTCTGGCAGTCTCATCCTCTCGGTCCAGCCCCCTCTCTGTGCCAGCGGCCCCGTGGAGCTGCGATTCGTGCTGCGTGACGAGGCCCTGCCAGCCTAGTGCTGAGCGCCGCTGGGAGGCCACTGACCGGCAAAGGAAGGTAGGGTGAAGTGAGTGACCCTCTGCAGCCAGTCTTCTTGCAGGAAGCTCAGGAGCAAAGTTATTCTGGGGCCTGTCTTGTGAGCCTGGGTGTGGTTTGGGTGGCCTTTGCTGGACCCCACCCCTCTCTGTTCTGGCAGCCTGCAACCCTCTTATCTCTCCAGAGCTGTTCTCCTTCAGGCTTACATCAGGCAGAAGCAGCACGGTGCCGAGGCTGAACGAGGGGCCTCCGCGATTCAGGTTGTCACGCTGAGATAAGTTCTAGAAAGGAACTTCCCATGCAGCCTTAGTTGGCAGGTTCCTGTCTGTCTGCATTAGCGGGGTAGGGACCGGAATCCTCTCGCTGCCGTCTCAGGCCTGGGTCATTTCAACAAGACATTAACTGTGTGTGTGTGTCCTGGGAACGTGCTGTGTGTAGGATGGGGGGAGTCCAGCATCCGCTTCCTGTGCCTCTTTTCCATGTGTCTTGCTGATTCCGAGGCTTTTACCCCTCCGTGAGCGCAGGTGGCAGTTCTGAGAGGCTAGCTCTTCATCACTTTTTTCCCGGCCGGGCAGGCAGATTTGGAGCACATTGTGGCAGGACTTCAGCCTATCCCGTCACGTCCACGTACCTGCTCCCCATAGCAACTAAATAATGGTCCATTATATTGGGCAGACCAGGGGGGAGAGCTGATACCTTGTACTGGGCTGACGTCTGGTGAAGGAGACATTGGTCCAATAAAAAAAATGATCACCCACCTCGTGTGTGTCATATCTTGGGACCAACACAGTTACAGCCCGCAGCCGGTCCTTATTGTACTCTCGTCTGTCTGTGGAATGGCTCGTTCCCTCATCCCTCAGCTGGGAAGCTGTTCTGCTCCTGGGGTGTTAGCGAGAGCTGTGTTCAACATCTGCCATGTGCAAGTTTCAGCCTCCGGGGCGAGGGCAAGGAAGGGGCCACGGGCGGTGGGCTGGACTTCGGGCATTTTATTCTGTGCATGAGTCTTGGACCTGAGCCTTTTCACAGGCCTGCTAGGGAGGCCGGCCCTGGTCCCAAAGAGCTAGCACGCCGTTGGTTGGCTTCATAATTACCTATGACAAATTTGGGACGGGAGATGAACTGTGGGCTTCAGGGTTTAGGGTTAGACCTGAAATGGGGGCTGATTACCCCATATCTGCTGCTGCACCAGGCACTGTGCACTGGCAGAGAGGGGCACGCTGTGCTAGATGGGCCGACGGCCTGAGCCCGTCGGGCGAGTCCTCTGCCAATGTTTGCCTCTTTGGGTTCGACAGGCGGCTGTGGGTGACCATCTGCGCTGTCTCCTTTTGGATCTGCTTTCTTCTGTTGCCACCAGAGAGGTTTGGCCTGGACCATGCTGCCTCCACGATGGCGTTTGGGTGGCCCTGCAGTGTGTCACCACAGCAGACTGGTTTATATGGAGGGCCCTACCAAATTCACAGCCATGCAAAATGCATCCTGGACCGTGAAATCTGGTGTCCTCCGGTGAAATCTGGCCTTTGGCCTGCTTTTACCCTGTGCTATACAGATTGCGTGGAGGAGACCAGCGTTTCTCAAACCCAGGGTCCTGACCCACACGGGATGTGCAGCGGGACCACAAGGTTCTTTTAGGGGTGCCACAATATTGTAACCCTCATTCGTGTGCTGCTGCCTTCATAGCTGGGCAGCTGGAGAGAGGGGGTTGGAATGTTTGCTGGGTGCCCAGCTCTGAAGGCAGCACCGTACCAGCAGCGGCACCAGCGTGACTGTGAAATTGACCAGAATGGACCGTGAATTTGGAAGGGCCCTAGTTACATGGCATGGCATAGGGTCGGATTGATCCTCCCACTTTCTCCTTCCTTTCTCCACAGAGGCGAACTTCAAATCATGGACACGCCAGAAAAAGAGCCAAGGTAGGGCACCTTCCCGCCTCGCCTCCTGCCTGCCTTCAGCAGAGGTGCCCAGGCTACTTGGGGAAGAGGGTTCGAGTCCTACGCTGACCTCCCAGCTCCATGATCTGCTTCCTCCCATTAGCGTTTCTGGCACCTGCCCTTAGACCTCTTCCCCAGCTGCCATCTCCGTGTCCCCTCCAGCCAAGCGCAACAGATGTTTGAACACCGTGCTGGCTCGTTTTGCTCTGTCTTACCACAGCGACAGCCTGCGATGAAGCCCCTGAGACCCCGACAAGCCACCATAGCGGTTCCCACCTGGCAGGCCATGGGCCATGAACCACTGGCTGCTGGAGCTGAAGCCGGCTGTTTGCAGCGGCTCTGGGGTACACCCCGACCCCCTGAGCTGCCACACAGCAACCACCTTCAGCTCTGGCAGCCACCACGTGGTGGGCGGCCTCCGCAGCTGAATCCACCTGTTCACGGCAGCCCCTTGGTGGACCGGTAACGTTTTATTTGCATAATGAATATGCAACTATTCAAGTCAAAATGTTGCCGGTTCACCAAAAGTTTGTGAATGGGTTTGCTGGTCCACGATATAAAAATAAAAACGGTTCTCTGAATGGGTTTGCTGGTCCACGATATAAAAACGGTTCTGTGCTCTCAGCCCTATGTCTCTACCCTCCACAGTGTCCCGGGCCGGAGAAACGCCAGGTGGGAATTGGCCTGTCCAGACAGTTGGCGTGCTGACCGGTTAGCTGAATACCTCTGTTCTCTGCCCACCTAAGGAAATCCAGCCAGTGGGAGTGCGGATTTTCACCCGTTATAATAATAATAATGAAAAACACAAGTGGAAAATTAATGCTTCCCAGCCGTCTAGTTACACCTAGTTTCCCCTCCTCCTCGGGGGATATTGTGGCACGAGTCAGCCGATCACGTTTGCTTTTACTCTCCAGTCCCTGCTCCACTCCCTTGTATTCAGCCAAGGCCTAGCACAATGTAGTCGCTGGAATTTGAAGCTAGACAGATTCCGACTGGAAATAAGGGTATGTTTCAGCAGGGAGGGTCGCTGGAATGCCTTCCCAAGGGCTATGGCCGATTCTCGGTGACTGGTGACATTTCCATAAAGACGGAGTGGTTTTCTAACAGAGAGGCTCTCGGTCGAACGGGGTGCTTTTAGGGAAGTCCTGGGGCCCATGCTAGCAGGAGGGCAGACCGGGTGATCACAGAGGTCCCATCTCTCCAACTCTATTCCAGTCCTGTTTCTTAGCTGCAGAATGCCACCCCTCTTGTACCCTGTGTGGAGGTTAGACAGCAGGAGCGAGTGGTCCCATCTGGCCTTTATCTGTGAGAGTATCCAGCACACAGGAAGGCTGGCCTTTAAGTGACACCCTCCCATGTGACGTACCACTGCTCAGCCCTGCTCTCGAGAGCATCCGTGGATCTTGGGAGGGGTGGGCTTTGGCACCCCAAATTCATCAACTCGCTGACAATCCTGAAGCCCCCAAAGTTGGCAGGCAGGCAAGATTTCCATGGGTGGCTGCCTTTTAGTTAAAGCCAGGAAAGCAGAAGGACCCCTTCCTGCTCCAGCTTCCTCGTCCGTTTCAGTGCTGCCCCTTAGGCAGAGCTTTGCACGGGGCAGGCTCTGTGATTAGCTGTTGTGCAGAGGAGGAATCGGGCGGGGTAATGGCTCTGCGAGGTTTCCTACCCGCAGAGGCTAAGTGGTGCGGTGGATTAGCACAACAGCCTTTCCCCTCAAGTCTGGTGGGCTGAGTCTGAATGAAGGTCTCTGGAAAAGAAGAATGCATTGCCATCGCCCCCACAGCCTCCGTCGGCGCGCGCTTGTCCTGCAGCAGAGAAATGCATGTGGTGTTCCTTTGTATTCCAGTCTAATTCAAAGCTCAAGCTGGTCCGGAGCCTGGCAGTGTGTGAAGAATCCTCCGGTCCCTTTGTGGACGGGGCCTTGGAAGTCCAGGTAGGCCAGGTCAAACACCATGAGCTCTTATTTCGGTGCGGGTCAAAGGGAGAGCCAGTGGCTGTTCCCTAGCCACGGCGACAGGACAAGCGAGGCGCATGTGTCCCGGGCTGGTCTGCACAGTCTCGCGCTAGCAGTGCAGCTGCAGGAGCGTGAGCAGTGACGGCAGACACGCAGCTGAGCTGTCCGTACAAATCCGCCTGAGACCTGGGAGTCGCATCTGCTCTGCTGCTGCGACTCTTTGCTTTGGGCACAAAGGCAGCGTAATCAGCAGCTCCATTGCCCTCCCCAAACCAGCGTGAGCTGGAGCCCAGCATAGCGAGTGAGGCCCCTCGGGGACCAGCACGAGGCCTGGTGCTGTTCAGTAGCTTCATCGGTGATGTAGACAGTGGCCCAGACAGACCACTTGCAGCGGGTGTGGATGGGACTGAGCTGGGAGGGGTCCCAGTGCTGTAGAGGGTCAGATTGAAATTCAGAGTGATCTGGATAGCCCAGAGGATGGATGCGAGGTAAATAGGCTGAAATTCAATAAGGGCAAATGCAAAGTGCTCCACCTGGGAAGGAGCAATCCGTTGCACGCGTACAGACTGGGAAGTGACTGTCTAGGCAGGAGCGCTGCCAACAGGGATCTGAGGGAAGCTAAATCTCAGCCAGCCGTGTAACACTGCTGCAAAAAAAAAGTTGCCTGAGCAGGAGTGTTGTAAGCAAGACGCCACAAGTAATTCTTCCGCTCTGCTCTGCGCTGAGTAGGCCTGAACAGGAGGCTCATGGCCAGTTCTGGCGCCACATTTCAGAAGAGATGTGGAGAAACTGGAGAGAGTCAAGAGAAGAGCAACCAAAGCGATTAAAGGCCTAGAAAACATGGCCTGTGAGGGAAGATTGAAAAGTTGGGGGGGTTTTACTCTGGAGACGGCCGAGAGAGGACATAACTGTTTTCAGATACCTAAAAGGTTGTTACTAAGTGAGAGAACAATCTATTCTTAACCTCTGGGGATTGGCAAAAAGCAATGGGCTTCAATTGAAGCAAGAGCTGTTTTAGTTGCACATTATGAAAAACTGCCTGACTGTCGGGGAGGTTGTGGGATCTCTGTCATTGGAGACTTTTAAGAGCAGGGTGGACAAACTCCTGTCCAGCATGGTTTAGGTCCCCTGCCATGCATGCGGGGGCCTGCACTAGATGACTATGGAGTTCTCCTCCATTCCTGTGAGTCCGTGACTTAGCTCTCAAGTGCAGGTCCCCCGACACTGGTCACGCCAGCCACTGTGCACGGAATGCAAAGAGCCACAGGATACGTTTGGGGCACTGAACTCAGCAGCGTTCTGCTTGCTTATTTCTAGGACATTATTCAGTTGCATGTCAGCTGCCCCTCGGACAAGGAAGAGGAGAAGTCTACAAAAGATGGGCCCGAGAAAGAGGAAAAAGACAAGAATAAGGAGAAGGCACCAAGGAAAATGCTCTCCCGAGGTCAGGTGTCCTCTCAGTGCGCTGGCATGGGGCTGCAGAGCCTGCTTTCTGGGACCCTGACAGCCAGGACTCACCCCTTAGTGTCTGTTACCTGGCACGGTCCTTTGGGGCTTTCTTATAACTTCATTTGTGGGGGGAGCACTCCTCTAAACTGGCATGTGTTCTACCAGACACCCAGTGCGGGATGGTCTCGGTGTAGCAAACCCTGCTTCAGCTCAGAGGGCTGGTCTAGCTCACCCCACAAGGCCCTGCCCAGTGGACAGTTCTGTGACTGACACGTGGTGTCCTTATGGCCTTGGGGATCTGGACATTTTTGACACAGCTACAAACAACACCGAGAAGTTTCCGGTTTTGGTTTCTCTTTGTGAAACTCCCCATAGAGACGGGCCTGTAGAGAGGCTTTGGGACTCAGCCAACCAGAGCCGTTAGAGGAGTCTCCTTCTTAACGTTTTGGGCCATAAAACTGGTTGAAAGAGCAAAGCTTAAAATTTGCATCCAGAGAGTGAATCAGGCCTGGAATCCGACCCCCGAGCCAGGCTCTTCTGCCAGCTCCGTTGTGCTGGGGCAGGTGGAACGCCACTCGCAGCTTCTCTGCTCCCACTTGGAGGAAGGATATTCCTGGTAATGTAACCTCTGAGGCCTCGGGTGCAAAGCTCATTCACAGGGAAGGCTTTGAAGCGTCCGCCTTTGGGCAGGAGAGGGCATCCTAGCACTGCCAGAGAGGGTGAACTGTTCCATAATGTGAGGGTGGGGGGGCACTGAACATCTGGCTCTTGCAGCTGTTTAGGATGAAAACATTCCCTTCTCTAAGTGTTGGGAATGCCTTGCAAACTTTTGTTCTGGATCCGCGTGAGGTCTCAGAGGGCTCCTATGGCCCTATCATCTGCTGTGTATTCATGTCTTTCTCTTCCCGGCACCCCTGGGAAGTTAGGAAACAGTCATCCCCCTCCGTGTTACAGCTAGGGAAACGAAAGCACAGAGCGATTCTGTGACCTGCTCACGATGGCAGGAGGCATGTGCGGCAGAGCCGGCAACTGAATCCAGGCATTGTGTGTCCCTGTCAAGCACCGTAATCACCAGCTCCATCTCCCTTCCTTTCCAGTGGCCAGTAGTAAGAATCTGTAATCTGATAATCTAGGGTTGGTGCTTGGTCCTGCCGTGAGGGCAGGGGTCTAGACTCGATGACTTCTCAAGGTCCCTTCCAGTTCTATGAGATAGGTATATCTCCATATATTATTATTATTATTATTATTATCAGGGTTCGACAAATAATACAATCTACTAGCCTGTGGCGAGTAGATTGTAGCCCGGAAGAGCCGGGTTTGGGCGATCTGTGCATGCGCACATTGCTGGACAGCACAGCTGGCGAGCGGGGCTCGCCACAGTTCAACGAGCCCTGATTATATTATATTATATTACATTATATTATAGGGTTTATTTCTCTAGTGCCAAACAGAGACCACTCCACTGACTTCAGAGGTGTTGTACCCGCCTGTGCAGGCAGTGACTTTGAGGAGGGAGTAGCCCTCTAGGAATCCCATCCCGTTCCCAGTTGTGCTGCCTGGTCCATGGATAATTGGGTTTCCGTAGTGCCTAGAAACCCCAGATCCCTAATGCTGAATACACACCGAACACAAAGGCAGGGCTCTGCTCTGAATCTCTTCTGTTGTTGTTGTTTTAGATTCCAGCCAAGAATACACGGACTCCACTGGAATAGATTTGCATGAATTTTTAGTAAATACACTGAAAAAAAATCCAAGGTAGGTCGCAAGGTGGTGAAGTTGAGTGAGTGGAGGGAGGAAGATGCTTAAACTGCAGCAAGGGAGGTTTTGGTTGGACATTAGGAAAAGCTTCCTGCCTGTCAGGGTGGTTAAACCCTGGAATAAATTGCCTGGGGGCAGTTGTGGAATCTCCATCTCTGGAGATATTTAAGAGCAGGTTGGACAGACACCTGTCAGGGATGATCTAGACGGTGCTTGGTCCTGCCATGAGGGCAGGGGACTCGACTTGATGACCTCATGAGGTCCCTTCCATTGCTAGTGTTGTGTGAGTCTGTGATTCTAAGATGTTTTTCACTGGTGCCTCACGCTCCAGGGATTGAGAGAGGCCTGTATGATGCAGACAGAATGGAAGGGTCTGTCAGAAATCACAGCCCCTCTAGTGGTGAGTTGCACATCTTGAAATTCAGGGGGACTTGGCCCAGAGTAAAAGGCTGTACTGGCAGGAGGGGCAGTAATTTCATTATTACCAACTCGTGAAACAGACCTGCTTACGCATTATGGATTCAAACTGAGAGAAGAAAAATAATTGGTTTGACTACTGGCAGGAAGGGAGCCTTAATTGCACTAAAATCCCTCCTCTAAATAGCTATCAAAGACCTGTGTATCGAGCGCCTGCTGCGCTATCAGTCATAAACAGGATCAAACTGAACGCCAAGCGCTGGTTAGGCATAAACATCCCACACTTGGGTTTCTATCCATATGGCCATTCCTGGCACAAGGATTGAACGGTCCCACCAAACATGCAGCCATAGGTCTCCTTGGACAGGAACACTCGCCTCGTAATGTATCTGTTTCTTTTTATGCTCGGCCGCGCAGGGAGGGCGAAGCTTGGCGGAAGAGTAGCCTTGCGCTTTGCTCATGCCAGGCATTTTCTGGGGCTTGGCAGGAAGGGAGCGTGAAGCTGCAATTATCAAAGAGAACTGCAGTCTCCTCTTTGCTTCTGAATGTGACTTTTTGTTTTCTTTTCCTCCCTGCTTTGTCTGGACAGGGATAGAATGATGCTGCTAAAATTAGAACAGGAGATTCTGGAATTTATTAGCGATAACAAGTAAGTGGCCGGTGGAGTTTGCATGAAGCAAAGCGGGTTGGTGGCTTGGGCAGTAGGAGGTGCTCTTGCACTGAAAGGGATGGAGAAATAAGGCCCAAAGAGTCTTACAGGTTTGTCTGTAACCTGGCGTCTTCCCTCCGGTCAGCCTAGCCTGCCTGCAGGATTCCCCATGGCAAAGCCCTCTGGGCATCCCTGGGTCCTCGCTGGTTCAGGCCCGGCCAAAGAGTTTGTGGGGCCGAAGGCGGCGTGTTGTGGTTGGCTGCCTGGGCAGGGAGCGAGCAGCCGGGCGCCAGGCAGCACGGGGCCCTGGAGGCGCAGGGCCCAAGGCAACCGCTTTGCTCGCCTTGCCCTAAGGCCGGGCCTGCGCTGGTTCTGTCTTTGCTTGGGTGCGGCTTGGGGCATATCCCATGAGCCCTTGTTCTGAGACGATCTAGGAGTCGTTCCCAGCCGTTTGTGGCAATTCTGGAGTAACTTGCCTGTCTTTTGGGGGAGACTCTTGGGAGGGGGGCATAGGAGGGCTGTCCACACTCAGGGAACCTGGCCGGGGTCCTCCCTGCAAAATGGACTGGTTCCAGCCCAGTCAACTAGACCCAAACTCTAGCCCGGGCTTGAAACACACGGAAGCCCCGGGGCTGTCAGGGGAGGGGTGGGGAGGCTGGGGGAAAGCCCAGGTTAATTGACGTCAGTGATTTGCCTGGGACAGAGCAGGCTCTCCAGAGCCCCAGACTAGCACCCTGCCCCTTCTCCATCGAGACTGGCTGGGGCCTGGAGATGGGGAGACTGGAGCCTTTCCCTGGCCAGGTGCTGGTTCGAATTCAGACCCAGTCGTAGCGACCCCAAGTGCCAACTGTGTGATAGGAGTTTGGGTCCCAGAGCTGGCCCCGTTGCCCCCTCGACCCTGCTTGTAGGCCCGAGGCACGGCACAGCGGTGGGGCAGGCGTCTGGCGCTCTTTATGTCTGTAGCTAGAGCTCTATGCCCAGCCCTGAGCTGGCTCTCCCAGACCCTGGCCAAGCCTGTGCGCTTTGGTTGGTCGAAGGACACGCTCTCAAGATGCTCCTGTTTTGGCAGGGCCCCTCTACACAGGGAGCCTGCGATTTGAAATACCAGAAATGTACCGAGAGGTTTCTCTTGCTGCACAGCAGCTCAAAACACAAAGGGCTTTTCGATCTGTCCTCCTCCCTTGTTCCCCACCCAGAGGCCTTGAGAGCTGCCCGTCCCTCCAGGGCGCTCCCACCCTTCACATGGCCTGTCCTCGGAGCACAGAAAGGGCTTTCCGCAGGAGATCCGCAGGGAAGAATCCCGTCTGCCCAGCCCCCTTCGGAACCAGCTTCTCCCTTGGGCCTGGTGCAGCAAAGCCGCCCAGCAGGGGATTACAGTTCAGCTTGTGTTTTGGTGAATCGGGGCAGAGCTTCTGGCTGGTCCCTTGGGCCCCAGGTCAGCAGCATTGCGCCCGTGGGGCGTCCCAGCCCTGCTTTGGCACATGAAGTCCCTGAGAACTCAGCACACGATCAAATGCTGGATCAGGGTCTCGGTCTTTCCGGGCTGAGCCCCGTTGGCGTCAGATGGATCTTGCCCGTTCGAGCGCAGTGTGAATTCAAGCTCTCCCCCTTCCGTTCTCAGCAATCAGTTCAAGAAGTTCCCTCAGATGACGTCCTATCACAGGATGCTCTTGCACAGGGTAGCTGCCTACTTCGGCATGGACCACAACGTTGACCAAACCGGGAAAGCCGTCATTATCAACAAGACCAGCAACACGAGGATGTAAGGAGAGCCCCGGGGCGGGGGGGAGGGTGGGATCCCCATCCCCCAGGTGTGCCTGGCACACCTCATCCTTCCACGGGGGGGTGGGGTGGGGAAGAGGGAATGAGGGAGCAGGGAAGCCTAGAGACGCACCCTCCCAGTTCCCAGTGCAGACCTGGATGGGGGCTTTCCCCCTCCTGAAGGCACTGGTGCCCCAGCCTGCCCGGACTGGCTCGAGAGGATCTGGCGGCAGCTTGAGTCTCCCAGTGGCTTGCAGCCTCGAGCCGCTGCCCCGACCTCCTGCGCCTCCCGCTCTGGCCACACAGTGAGGTTCCTGGCCACCGTGGCCTGCCCCGGATGACGGCGTCTTTCTCCCCGCAGCCCCGAGCAGAGGTTCTCCGAGCACATCAAAGACGAGAAGAACGTAGACTTCCCTCAGAGGTTCATCCTAAAGCGAGACGACGCCAGCATGGACCGGGACGATAATCAGGTGGGTTGGGGTGCGAGGCGCCCAGCCCCTTCCCGAGAGCCGACGAGGCAGCCACGGCGCTTTGCTCGAGGTTGCCTGGGAATGGGATCAGTGAGTTTGGCGGCGTTCCTGCCTGCATGGGAGCAGCTTGAAATCCCTCCGGGGTCTGTGCTACCTTCCCGGTAACTGCCAGAGGCCCCTCTGCTGTCTCTTCCAGCAGCCGGGTGGTAGGCAAACCCCCAGCCATGCTGCCCCGCACTGCACCGCAGCCCAGCAGGTTCCCAGCCTCAGCAGTGACCGGGGTAGCAGCCTGGCCAGCGAGTTGAGCGTGCAGTAGCCAGGCTGGGTCCGAGCCGTTGTTCCAGGGCTGCTCTGGCCTCCAGAGGGCTGTTTGGGGAGCCAATGAGCTAGTGTTTCAGGCTCTCCGCAGAGCCAGGCCCCAGCGCATCAGCTCTGCTGCATTCGGGGTTTCAGGCTTTTCTTTGCAGCTGCAGCATGGGAGCCCGGCCCTGCTTCTGGGCTGCAGAACCCCAGGAGTCCACAGGGCACTTAGGATGTCAAGCCCCCGTCCCCCACTGAATCTGGCAGTTCGGGCTCTGGCGTTTTCTACCCCGGTGTTGGCAGGCCCTTGCCGTGTGGACAGGCTGGCACCTATAACCATCTGCAGGACATGTGCGTGTGCAAATGCACGTGTGTGTGCACAAAGCAGGCTGCGCTCCTGTGTTATGCTTCTAAGAAGCACACAGGATCTTTTTCAGGGGAATACACCGCGTTTATTAAGAATACAGTCGGAAAAGCAGCCCGTGCATTTGCACACGTGCATTCGCGCACGCACACGTCCCGCGGACGATTTACAGTTGCTAGTCTGTCGTGGCTCAAGTCTGTCTTATCGGCCAAGTAAGACTGAACATGAGTGAGGCGTTGGGTTTATTGATTGCGACTCGAGGCTCTGCTTGCAGGACCAAGCCCAGGACCTTATGGCAAGAATCGGGATGTAGTAATATAGTCAATGAACCGATAAGCAAAAGCGTATAGGTTAATGCTATAGACCACACGCGTGTCCCTCTCCCCGCCAGGACATTTTGTAGCAGGCTGGCCAGCAGCCTGGCTCAGTCCTGCTTGCAACGGGTCCAAGACCTGCCCCCGCTGTGGCTCTGTATTAGGAGCTGGGCGGGCAGGTAGCCCGACTCATTCCTGGCTCTCGCTGGGGCCGGGACCTTCCCCGTTTCAGCTCTGCATTTCAAGTGCATTAAGAGCCAGCCAGGCAGGCACCCTGCTCAGTTCTGGCTCGCACCGGGTCCAGGAGCTCAGACCCCCCCCCCCTCACCGTGATAGGGGCTGCTGCCACTTTGTGTCGCTGCCTCTTTCTCAGAAGCAGCAGCGCGGGGCAAAAGGCAGCCGGTCCGTGAGGGGGGCTGGTTTTTAAACTGGCTCCCCTCGCAGACCAGCTCCCACCTGGCACTGCACGCTGCTGCCTCTGATCCAGCAGCTGCCGGCCCCACCCTGGGGACACTAGACTAGTCAACTAACCAATAAAACTTCACGAGGTTGCTTGACTATTCAATTAACCGATATTTAACATCCCGAGGCAAGAACTCTCCATCTTGTGAGATCCCATTGGAGTCTCTGGGTTGCAGTGTCGTGCTGCAGTGCTTGCTATGGTAATCTGGGGGTCCCCCCTCCCCCGCTCCCATTGGAGTCTCTGGGTTGCAGTGTTGTGCTGCAGTGCTTGATATGGTAATCTGGGGGTCCCCTCCCCCGTGGTTATCCTTCGATGTTTAGGGTCAGGCTTGTTCGCTTTTGCTTGTGGTCTCCCCTGTGGGAGCGTTGGCCAGTCTCCCAGGCACTCTGTTTTGCTGATTCATCCAGCCTCGGGCCCCAGGGATGTTCTCCTGTCATCTCCAAGTCTCTCGAGTCTTTTTGGCCCTTGGGGAGGACTTTTCACCCGTTCTTCACTCCCACTGGACAATGTCCGGCGCAGTCCAGACCGAGGGTTACAGAGTTTCGGAAAGACCCAACTTTGTTTGCAGAGCTAACAAGCAGCCAGACTGTACAGCCGCCATTGACTGATCTTGAGCGTCAGGGTGATACAAACGGTGTAGGACTACAGTTTGGCTACACCCAGCTGCTAATGGTCCTCACAGGCCCTTCAGGAGTGAGAAATTCACCTGGAAAACCAGGGACCTTGAGCCATTGCAAAGTCTCCGCCAACCCCGCCGGGGCTCAGGGTCTCCCAGGCAAATGCAGAGGGTAGGGCCCCTCAGTCCCTAGCTGGAGGAATGCCTGCAGGCTCTTCCCTCTCCCCTCCGCCCTGAGCCCTTGTGCCAGGCAGCCCGGCTCTGCTGCTCCGTAGCCCTCTTGGCGTGGGCTGGTGTTCCCCGCCCTTCCCCCTGTGCCTGGGAGGAGATATGCAGCCAGGTCCCATCGCACGAGCCCCTCTGCTCTCGTCCCTTGCGCGGTGCTTGGCTTGCTGTGCACGGGAGGGCACCCCCCTGTTCTTCCATACAGGCTTACGGGGCCTAGAGCCTTGAGTCTGAGCAGCGGGCGTGGAGGCGGAGGGAGGCACTTCTGGGCCTGGCTTTGACAGCCTCGCCGCGGGCGCTGGCTTGAATCCGGAAGGGTCTCGATACCTCACCCCAAGCCCTGAAGCTGCCCCCAGCCGGGGGAGGGGGTCCTCCCCGCTGACCCCCGCAGGGAGCTGCCGCAGCGGGGGGAAGGGCCCCTGCCTCGGCCAGGGCAGCTCGCTGCTGGGGCCGGTGGGGAAGTGGCCAGCACAGCAGGGTCAGCTCCTGGGTGGGGGGGCCACGGGGCACCACACACCGTGGAGCCTCAATGCCCCTCCACCCTCCAGGAGCCAGACCTGGGTGCAGCGTGGTGTGCTAGGACAGGCAGGCGCCAGGCAGTGCATTCGCACCGCTGACCACTAGCCACCCAAGTAAGCCCGAGCCCCAACCCCCTGCTGCACCCCAAGCCCCTCATCCCCAGCCCCACCCACACCCCCAGGGCAGAGCTGGACCTGCTCCTGCACTCTCACCCCAGCCCAGAGCCCCTCTCCAAATCTAGAGCCCCTTTTTGCATCCCAAACTCTGCATCCTGGGCCGACCCCCTCCTGTATTCCGAATCCCTCGGCCCCGCTCCCACCCCTGCATCCCAGGCCTGAGCTCCCTCCCCCACTCAGAACCCCTTGACCCCACTCCCACCATGTGAATCGTGTTCTGTGCACCAGTCTGAAGGTGACGTGTCGCACGTCCCCTCCCCTTTGGGGCACAAGGCAAAATTCATTCCGCTTGTGGGGGGGGATTCAGGGAACAGTGCGTGGTCTGATGGCAGCAGTCCCCATGAGAGGTGGGACTCCGCTGGGCCGCACGCGGGAGCTGTGATTTCCAGCTCCGGTCGAGGTACCTGCACTGGCGTTGGCCAAACAAGCGCTCTGAAAATGGCAGGGTGGCCATGCCTGGTTGGACTAGCCGAGTCCCTGCCCCAGACCGTAGGCAGGTGGCCGGTGCGCTGCCGCTGGCCTGCTGGTTTTAGCACGCTAGTTTGCTCAGAGCTGGAGTGGGTGTCGCGGAGCTGGAGATTTTATGTCCCCCAGCCCCTGGTGCACCCTTAGGAGGGGGTGAGTTTTCCAGGCCTGGGGCCTCTCTCTGTCCGGTCAGTGGATCCCAAGCAGAGCGTCTCCCGCTGGCAGCAGCGTCTGGGGCAGAGACCTTGCTGGGTTACGAGAGCACGGGGCAGAGCCCAGGCGTGGTATCGGGGTCAGTCGGCCACGTCGCCTTCCCGGTCCCTACACTCGGGGGGCGGGGCACGAGCGTGTAACCAGCCGAGTTCTGCTTGTCACTCTAGATCAGAATCCCGTTGCAGGATGGGCGGCGGAGCAAGTCGATAGAAGAGCGAGAAGAGGAGTACCAGAGGGTCAGAGAGCGGATCTTCGCGCGAGAGGTAAGCCGAGCTCCTGCCAGCGCCCCCCCGTCT